GATTTCTATATTGGTAAAAACTCGTTGATATTTGACAAGTATATCTGAATTTTTTATATAATCCAGAATAATAAAAAAATTTGCTCTGTACTTGCTCTTTACTCGAAGATCCCTATGCTGATAAAAGAGTTAAAAAATATTCCGTATTGCCAGGTTAATGTAAGCGATAAAGATTAAGGCGTTGATAAAAATCTAGTTAATTAAAAAAAAAACGCAGATGTATCTTATAGAATACATAGAAAAAGTTTAAAATCTTTAAATGCTCTGCTCGAAATTCTAAAAGTAACAAAGAATGACTCCAATTTCTTTATGTCAATTAAAAGCCGAAATTTCTACTGAGAAAATGCTATTCTTCTTTCAAATACAAGATAAAATGAGAAATTAGCAATACCCTAATTGTGCAGAAAATGTCTGTCCTATTGGAGCGACCGCGACAATGGTACCACGTTGCAACGTGTCCGTGAAATCCATATCTGACACTTCCTCGGTGTTCATGGAATTTGAGATGGTATCAGTTATTTCGCTTTCGAACGATGTGGAAGTTGTCGATGTCATTGTTGTGCTCTGTAGATTTTCGCCTGCAATATGCGCATCGTCAGGGAAAAGGGACGAAAGTAAGACATTACAACGTTTCCCACCACATGCTAAAAGCTATTTGATTCTAAGATTTATCGATTTAACGTAAAGATGTATAGAAGAATATTTCAAAATATTGCAAACTATTTCAGACGAGATGTATTATTATTTTTCAATTAATAAATAAAAAAAATAACTCTATCATAAAGTATCTAAAGAAATTGCAATTTATTAAATATATCGCGCATTTAAAAAAAGCCTTTTAAATCAATTTAAATAGAAAAAAAAAAACTGAGAACATTTTTTTATAATTGGCTTGATGAATGTCGAATATATTTGTAATTGGATTTATAATTGATATTAAATATACTATACGCGTCTAAAAGAAGATTTTTAAATCAAATTAAATTGAAACTTGAGAATATCTTTTATAATTCTTGATTCATAGTCATAATAAATTTAAACATCCATCGATATATTCCAAGCAAATTTAAATTAGGATAAGCTTATTCAGAATCATTTCTAAAAATATCACGAGCGACCAATATTTTACGTGCATCGTTCTATGTATATCTATCTTATAAATAAACCGGCATCAACAGTTGAATTCTGTAAGGTCTTACTCGGCTCCGTTCTCTCAAGATCACGATCGAAGGTACTCGGGGAGAGGACGATAGTGTTCGTAGCGGAGGTCGAGGGTTCAGCGGGGTCGACTTCGGACAAATAACTGGCGAGGTCTTGGTGAGATTCGCGCGTCCTTGCAGCATCCATAGGATGATGCTCGAACTGATAATTCGAGGTATTGCTCTTTTCCGTATTTTGTTCGTTCAGCGTGGATGCTGACGAAGAGAGAATGTAAAAGGAATATTTTTTATA